GTAGGCAGTATGCAGCCCACTTTAGTTAGTTTTTACTGGAAAACACCAGTAGATCAGTATTGTCTGATTATCTGATGGACTAAAAGACAGAGTAGAAAGAAGATGAAAAAAAAACAAATATCTCATAACTTGAAAACATTTATTGTACAATTGTTTGAAAAAGTGTCATGGCATTCTTAGTTTCTCCTTGAAATTATAAAGCAGTGGCTCTTTTCCTGAGAAGCAGGTTTGCTTAAAAGATTCTTTGAGATTTCTGATAAATATCGTGTAAACAAATGGAGATAGGAAACCTTGAAACATCAGCAAACTATATCTAATCTTTACCAATATGAATCTAACAAATGATACTTACCATTTTCAATTAATTATAGGCAGTAGTAAAGAATTAATGGGAGTAATCCATTTAGCAAATGCAGTCTGTGTTGTTCAAACATAAAACTTAATTGAATCCATTGTACTACTGGTATCTAATGCTCACAATCCATTTTATACATCAACCAAAAATTTGCATCTAATTTCCTACGTGGAAACCTCGGCTCGTGTGCAGCACCTAAAACAACTGGAGGACTGTACTTGAATTTAATTTGTAAATACATATCTTCTTTAATTCCATTCTTTTGCAACTTATTTTAGGGGTCATTACCTCAAATTCTTTAAATTTGGCCAGTTAGAGAAGCCAAAACACTGCTTATGGTCTGTAGTAGCTATATTCTTAAAATTGCTAAATGTGGAACACAAAATACAATTACCATTAGTTTTCTCTGACAATTATTTAAACCATTCTTTTTTATTTATAATCATAAATTGATTGTATTATTTCTTTCCTTTTGTAAAAAATACATTAGGTCAGCCATTTGCACATACCGTATAACTGAAACAGGGAGTGCTTTCATTGGGGATAAAGTTATATTTAGCATGCATTTAGGAATCAGTACAAGCCAATGGTGAATGTTCTGAAAACTAGGAATTTGACTACACAAAAATCTCAGTAAGCGTCTTGCACAGACAGAAGTCCTATAAAGACCCTCTTAAGAGTTTTGTCAGGCTTATACATGCCACATTTGCAAGTATAATACAACTCTGTGAATATCCAGAGAGGAGGATGAGTGGATGCTCCAACCAGATCCTGGAGGCTATTTTAGATGAATGTTTCTGTTGTGGAAGAACTGCATCATATCTATCCATGGAACAGCTTACTCATGATATCACCCATGATAACCACCCACAAACAGTACTGACTGACGCATTGCAACACTGGGAATGTGATCAAACGCAGTGGTTAAATGAAATCACCGGTGTGGTTCTGCAGAGAGGAAGACCCTAAGAGAAGCACAGAGTTTTTGCTCACACATGTTGAAACGGAAAATGTAGGCATGCATTTGATGTGCTGACGCTCAGACAGGTTTCGCAAGCATATTGTGCAAGTCAACATTCTCAGGCGCATACTATGATATTCATATCAGGGTAGTCTGCTGCCCTCTGTTGTCAACCTGCAGCTGACTTTGGTCATCACAGAAGTCATTGCAAACAACAAGTTTACTGAAAACCAATCAACATAATTTTATTTCTGTGCCAAAGCTCCAACTAGCGCTGATTTATATTAGCTGAAAGCAAATTGATTCTGCCAATCAACATTTTCTATGGGTTTGTAACAGATCCTGGCTTTACTAATCTTTTTTTTTTAGTGATTTGGCTGGCTTATATGGGTGTATTTTTCTCTCTGAAAGATTGGGATTGTTGGTGCCACAAGCAAGTAAACATTGATGTCTTATATCTGTGAAATGATCAATACAGGCATATAATTGTTACAGTGGTATCTCCCTTTTCAACAAACACTGTGTGAGGAACTTATTAGTAATCATTGTCACACCTGCATTAGATAGTGGTCAGTCTTTAAAAGATAACAGAGACATTCTAACAGGAAGCTTCTACCAAATTGGGGCACACAGGAACACATTTCATCATGTTAATAATGTAGAAAATACGATGGCTGTGTTTCAGCTTTCCATCCTTTCTTCAACCAAATTAGACCCATATTGCTTTATCATCATACCTAATGTGGCTGCATTCTGTACCCTGTCACCGATTAGCTAACTGATCTGACTGCATAATTATTCTCATTATCCACAGAAAGATATGTCAAGTACCTCGAAAAACCATGCAGGCACTTGCATGTATTAAATCTTTGTATATGTATCACAAACCAGCCATCAAACTAATTCTGATGCAACTCTGTACAAATTCAGCCTGCCAGACACTGGGTATCACTGCTGAGGTTATGCTAAGTAGCACATTAAAGGTGAGTTGATGGGTTGTTTGGGTTTAAGTTGTTTTTGTGGGATGTGAATTACTGATTGTGATGGTGAAGAACGGGTTATCTAAATGCTTTGTTCAATAACTATTCTGTATAATATACAGGATAGTATACAGTATTTTGGTAGTAAGTGTTTTACAACATTCAACGTACTGTGAATACAAACCTGCTGTAAAACTTTTGTTCAAAGATCAGCAGGCATTCAGGCATTGGCTGGAAGTCTGGTTATTCTCCTGCTGTAGAAAAAAAAAGGAGGGTCCGGACCAACATATATATAGTTGTCTTGATAACCCTTTGAAGCTGAGGCTGATAATCAGAGATCACACCCCAGCATGTGTGGGATGCTACCTCAATGGCCGGAAGTGTTTGGCTAACACCAGAGAGGAAGGAGGCCACCCAGAACAGACCAGTGTGTGAAACCACTGCACAGGCTGAACAGTTCCCAGAGCAAACCCAGTCACACAAACACTGTGTGAAGAGATGCACTATTCAAAACTATCTGTGGAAACTAACTACAGAATTCTTAGTTGGTGCTGTTTGCTGAAGATGGTGTGTTGCTAGATTGAGGGAATATGTGTTGCTCTGATTCACAGGAAGTTTCCTTTGGACACCTGTATGCAGACAGTATGTTAACCAGCTCTGAATCAGCACAGCACTGATTGGAACTTTTTTACTTCTGAAATCAAGGATCTGAAAACTGATAACAGCAATTTATAGGCAAAAAGAGAGACTGGTAGCTTACTCGCTTTGCCATTGTGCAGAGTTGACACCCATGATTATGTCATAATAATAAACAAGTCTAATTATTTTAATTATCTCTGATCAAACCAACACAGCCCACAGAATAAAATATTGATTTACAGGTTTCTCATGGCTGGTCATCTGTGGTAATTTGTAGCTTTGGATTCTTACACGCTACGGGAAAGTATAGCAAAATTACCTAGTTTAAAATATATCATATATGCAACTTTTTCTGTAAGGATTGCATGAAACATTTACCCAACTTGATAGTACGGAGCTTTGGTACATAGCACATATGTTAATGACAGAAGAGGAAAATGACTTTTTCCTTTCCTTCTACAAATACTGTAGAACTAAAACTAACGTAAATAGAAAAGTAAATCTCTTGGATAAACGCAGACTTATCTTTTAAAGGTCATATGCAGGATTACTTTTGGTTGATTTATTAGCCAAAAGTTTTAGCAAGAAAAAGTAAAGAAAAACGTTGTATACGGCATAATGTAATGTTTATTTATTCAGTGACCTGTGGGAAAAACACCCTCCCTAGTTTTTCCGGCTGTGATGCCATCTATTGGGATGTATTAATAGGCCTGGGTAACAAAGCACACATACTTTCCGGGTGGGAATGTCAAAGGGTGGAACACACATTAAACATTTCTTGTGGTGCTAGTGATAAAACAGCGGTGGAAGATGAGCTCAGAGATCAGAGGGCTCACAGAGTAACAAGCAGTTTATTTATCTATTTTCTGTAACACTGAAATCATTATCACCAACTGAATTTACTAGAAAAATAAACGTGTAATGTTTGACTTTATCAAAGTTGTGTATTTGGTTTTGCTGCATTCTGCCGATGCCAGTAGGGGGGGATGTTGGCTCATTAGTGACAAAAAATACATTTAAATGTGAAAAACTGGACACAGTGAATTCACTAAACAAATGGCTAAAGATTTGCTAATTGTTTAGATGGTTTACTGAAACATATGACAGATTTGGCAGGTTTCCAATCTACACACAGGAAATGTCTATCTAATGATGCTTACCCTGAGAATATTACAAGCAGTAACATACAGAGAGGTGTCCTGTAATGAACCTAATATAATTGACCAACTGTTAAGGTCCCATACATTCTTAGAATAGAGTTAGCACTGGAAATAAATGTGCAGGACTGTCCAAAGTTCTATAGGGGGGATTTGCAATAGATGTCAACTCCCAGATTAAAACCGATCACAACTTATAAAAGATAATATACACCAAATGCTGCAAAGGTTATCCTGTTTCTAACCATTTTTCAAATATAGTATATAACAAACTACCGTGCATGGATGTGTATCTTATATCTTATCTTTCATTACAGAAAGATAAAGGTTGTGCTTTCTTTTGGTCATACTCAAATAAAACTGAAAGCATTACATCTCAAAATGAAATGGCCTTTTTTGGTTTTCTTAAAACATTCAGCTAAATCTATTTAATTTTAAAAGGAAATTGTAAAAGAAAATGTATTTTAAAAATAAACGTAAAGGAAAGGAATTTGCCCTGGTGACTAGAATATATAAAACAAAAGCATACACATAGTTTATTTACCATACTTGCTTAATCCTACTCAAGGTTTGCATCTATGACAGCTATCGCTGGACATGAGCACTGAAAAAAAATATTTTTATGTAACTGAATATTTTAAAAGTACAGTGTAAAGAGACATCCAAACCAACACAGACTTTAGTAATGAGCGGCACAGGAACTTGCAGTGGACCGCAAACTCTCCGATTACTCAATACCTGTGTACAAATGATATGAACAAGACAAGCATAAAAACACTTTGGTACATAGAAATACAAGTGAACCGTTACTTGTTAAGCAACTTTTTTACAAAATACACCCACCCTATGGAAAAAAAACATAGAGCACAAGGTGAAAGATACAGTTTTTGTCCCATCTGTGTGTGTTTTTACATCCTACTGGACGTGATGAAAACATAGATTCGGGCCAGGAACGAGGTCATCTTCCCCTGCCTCAGCAGCTTCATCTCCACATCTAGCAGGAAGTCTCTGGGCTCGTGCACTTTTCTGTGGAGGTAAACGGCGCCGGTGAAAGTGCTGAGCTTGCGGGTGCTGAAGTAGCCCTCCTGGTTGCCTCTCCTGATGCTGACGACTATGTGGTCACCGGCGTAGGCGGGGGAAGGCCCGATGCGAAAGATCTGAGCCGGCGTGATGATGTTGGTCTGGTAGCTGAGCTGGTGGTACGTGATCCGGACCGGAGAGCTCTGGCAGTCCAGAGAGTTGGGGGGGCAACTGAACCTCTCACAGCGTCTACCATAAAGCAACAGAAACAGGAAGAGGACAGGTAAGCCACAGACAATTCTGAAGATTGGCTGAAATAAGAAACTAAAACCATGGAGAATTTAGAATTGTTAATATAGCAGGTTGAATTATTTTGAGGGCATTATTAGTGAGTTAATTCATTAGAAATATTAACTATTTAAAAAAAATAACTGTAATGCCGGAGATGAAGCAATTCATGTTTGAGGATTGCAAAAAGTTCTCATGCCAGAAAATATTTTATTTATATTCAGTTATACATTATTAGACACGGGCTTCTGTGTGTGACACATAAGTGGTCCAAGCAGGAGATTGTTTAACTACACAACTTTATTATCCCAGTGTCAAAATTAGATGGATACAAATCAGTTGTATGTGTGGGTATATTTTCATTTAGATCTACTTTTTTATATGAAAAAACTATCATTAAATGTAATTTGTGGTTTGTTTGATCTCTCATTAATTAAGAATTTTGATTAAAATAATTTGTGGAATAACTAACCTAACATTCATAAATTAAAACAAAACAAACCAAAACAAAATACCATCAGAATTTATTGCCTGGAATAGATCTTAATTTAGTGCAGCATCAAAATTGCACAAATCACTCATGGACAAGAGATTTTTAGGATTGACATGGGACAGATCAGGAGACATTTTAATTTATTCTGCAACCTTAGGGAATCTAGATGGAAACTTATTGAAAACAACCTAATATAAATACTGAACACTGAGCTATCATGCATCAGTAGAATGCAAAAATAAAAAAAACAAAAGTAACTGCTGGATCCATCAATATTTGATATATTAATAATCAGAGCTGCAACAAAAACGGCTTTCAGAGCCAAATAGTTCATCATCAAGGTAGATGAGAAATAATTCAGATGAGACTCACGTGTCAGACACCCTCTCATAGTGGTGAGGACAGTCAAACGACAGACACCTGAAGCCTCCCTGCAGGTTATAGCACGTCTCCCCAACGGAGCAGTTGTGGACACCAGCCGTGCACTCATCAACATCTTCAAACAGAGTATGAGGAATATTACGATTAGTACCAGCACACATCTTCTCTTGTTTGAAACATTTTCACCTTTACAAAGGAATGTATCACTGTCATTCATTATTACTAATTTGGAGGCTTTAATCCACGCCACGTGGCCTTTATTGAAACATGGATGTTGAGATTGGCAGTTACTTTATGTTGATCACATTATATGTTTTTGGGGGGTGAAATATAAAAAATAGGTTGAATAAAAAGTGAATAATTTCTGTTACTAGCTTGTGATTGAGGCCATATTGTCAGAGTAAGTTTATAATTAGCTTATCTTAGTATTAATACACACAGTAGGTCTTGACTTCCAGAACAAATATAAATATGTATTAAGTAAGCTAGATGCAGCTATAAACATTTGGCACTGCTGCCAATTTTCTGGCCAATGTGAAACCAGCTTAATGTGAAGGATATCTGACAATAAATATTTCACAATTGACTTGGCTTTGCTATAAATCAATAAAAAAGGTGCATGGGACAGTAGTTTCTAGAAGCTACATAAAAGGGAACATCAGTGTATGGAAAGAGCAGAAAGAGATTTGCATGTATAAGTTTATTCAGTTTGGGACTCAGGAGGGTTGAATTATAAACTGTAAACTGTAGATAAATTGTCTCTGGTGCATTTCTGAACAACAGATATCATAATTGAACACCTACAGTAAGTAAACTTTGCCCAATTTTGGACAAAGGAAAAGTATCAGAGTGCATAAAATCCCATTAGAAAATATGGTGATACGCAATTATTCCTGCCTAAGTGAGAAACTGAGTTCAGTGATATCTCACCTCTGCAGGTGCGTCCGTTGGCTGACATAACGTATCCCTGAGGGGGGCAGGCACACTGGTAGCTGCCGGGAACGTTGATGCACTTGAAGGTGCAGAGGTTCCCGATGCTCTGGGAGCACTCATCAATATCTGTTACACACACACACACACACACGGGCTTAATGGATACTGTCGATGAAAGTCTACTGAGAATAGTACGGGAGGTTCAAATAAAACTATGTGTTCACATGTACATATGTTATTATGGTTGTTTAGTGTGTTTTATTACACATTCCTGTCCTGGGGATTTAATGATTTGATTCCACTCTGTCCACGTGAAACTTCAACAGTGAGAAATATTCAGTTGACAAAACTGCAAGAATCTCTTCAATGTAATTTACTAGATGTAAAGTCCTAATGTTTCCATTCTTTCATCCTTTATTCTTCTCAATTGTTCTCTTCCTAAATGTTAAGTTGGTAAATGTGACAGGATTGTGTTCATTTTCTGGAGGGAACATACCTTCACAGGTGTGCCCGTCCTCTTTCAGGAAGTAACCTTGCCGACAGTAGCACTGATAGGAGCCGTGTATGTTAGCACACTCCTGGCTACAGATGTTGTTCTCACACTCGTTTTCATCTAGACACAGAAAAGAGAAGATGTGGTTAGAACCATGTCCGGCAACACTTTACAATAACCATCATTTATAAATGGTAAATAGACCATTTATAAATCATGATTATTGTAAAGTGTTACCCCATGTCCATTCCATTTCTTAATGAGCAGACTATCATGTGAAAGACTGAACAATCAGTCAAAAAAAATAATTAAAAACATTAAATAATGAGAAATCAATACTGGGTAGAAGGCTTGATTTATAGCTTTTGCTACCCTGGATAGTCGGCCAGAACACATAATTAAGGCCCGAAAATGTTGAAGGATTATTGGGTGGGGATTCAAGAAGGAGGCAAAGAAGCTTTAACCTTGTGTATAAACTTATTTACGATAAAAAACGACATCCAGCTGTTGGTGGAGGTAGTTGGATGGATAACGGTGTGAAATAGGTGGGTGGAAATAAGGGGTGTGTTAGTGTGAACGCCCACCACTATGGACGTAAGAGTCCATCACCAGGGTAAAAATAGCTGTATGCTGCACACTGCTGC